TCCCCCTCCAGGCAGGGCTGGGGCTTTCCCACCCCTTTTACAAACAGCACTTGCAGGCTGGAACTCAGCCAGCCTGCAGAGCTCTTTGCAAAAGGGGGAAATCCGTGGGTTTCCCTGCTAAAAGGAAAAATCCATGTTTTCTCCAATTAAAATGGGAAATCCATGGTTTTTGCCATTTTTCCGTGGGAAACAGACAACCCGGATCCCTGGTGATAAGAAAATTCCTCTCATTGAGCCTGGGCTGTTTCTTTTTCCACCTCAACACACACCATGCCCCTGCTGTGCAGGGGCTAGGGGTGCTAGCTCATGCTGGTCACTGTGTGGTGATCGCAGGGGGAGGGAGAGTTGGAGTAGGCTGATCACAGCCCCTCAACCTCACTTTGGGTATGTGATACCCAGATACCAACACACAGGGAGGCGGGGCAGGGGGGGAGCAGCCAGACCCTTTCTGTTGCCTTATGTAACCCAAAGTGTACCCCGTACCCAGCACCTGGCGCAACAAGCATGCAGAAAAAGTGGGGGGCAGAACTGCTTTGGGACCAGGCTTGAGCAGGGGGCACCCCCTTTGAGAGGCTTGTGGTATAGACCCCCAATGCCAATCCAGACTGGTGAGGGGGAGGCAGGCAGGTTCATTCTTGCAGACCTTTGCATGAAAAGATTTCCCAACCCAACCAGCAGTGTCCCGTACAACAAGTAACAAGTACCCAGAAAAAAGTGGGAAGCTTTGCAAGCGAGACAGGCACCACTGATTATTGAGCTCAACTCCCCACTCCCCCCCAAAAAAACAAACAAACAAACCCTGTGGCTCTCAAAGAAAGCTGCCAACAATTCCCTGCAAAAAAGCAACCCGACACAACCCAAAGAAAATAAACCAACCAAAATATCAAATCTTGTTGTAAAATTCCACCTGGCATTAAAGTAGTACTGAAAAGGCAGGAGGGTAAAATTGTTCTGACATGCCCCCTAGTGCATTTTACTAGTTATAGCATAATAAGCCATTACATGGTAAATCACGTCCACATTACTGAATTAGTCATCATAAACTAAGAAAGGAAAATTAAACCAGGAACATTTTTAGTGGGTAAATGCCAATTACGTGGACAAGTGCCCTAATAGTACATACTGCATTTCATGCAAAGGGTTGCACTAGATCAGGGTTTGCAACCTGTGGCCCGTGGGATTTGGCTTGCGGAGCTCTCAGGTTTCAGTGGCATTTCAGTAGTAGGGGGCTTTGGAACCACCAGCCCATCTGGGACCTGAGCTGGGTTATTTTGGCCTGCAACTAAAAACATTCCCAACTGCTGAACTAGATGACTCTTGAGGTCTTTTCCAACCCTGTGATTCTATGAAAACACCTTCAATTTGGGAAATGTACATTACAAACATAATGAAATATCTGCAGTAATACAGTATTGCATCTGTCCAAATGTTTGGCATAGTTTTCTGTAAAGGTTGAGTTAACATTGTAAAGTACACAAGGATTTATAGTAACTGACATCAAATACTTATAGTACTTTCTTTGCTAATTTAAAAAAGTTAGCGTCTTATTCTATAAAACCATGCTCTCGGAAGAGTGTCTTTTGATGAGTAGGTGTTTGCAGATGTAGCTGTTAATACTGAGGTGAACCTTATCCTTGTGGTGTTGTAAAGTCAGTGTGAAATGGCATCTTCTTGCTAAACAGAACGTCATAGAATCCTTTGTATAAGATCTAAATTATGCTTTCCTAATGAATAGTAACAGGTTACTATGAATGTAAAAGCATGGGATAATTAATCACACATTAAGATTTTTACCTGAAAGGGTTTGGCACTTACAGTATTCTGACTAAAACTACAAGTAGTTTTTACAGATCAGTTGAAACAAGGGATGATAAAACCTTTTATTCTACTTCATTTTGAATGTGCAAAAATAATTTTTTGGGGGGGGGGTCTTGAGTTTTAAGAAAAAACTAGTTGAATCAGGCTTTGCTGCAGAAAATTCATTTGATTTTTTTATAACCTTTTGTCATCATCATCATCATCTTCACTTTATGGTTTACGCATCATTGCCTGTTCCAACTTCAAAAGCTTTCAGGCCATCATTGCCATCTGCTTTCTTCTCTTCTAGACTGTAATTGAAAGTTTTTACATGGGTGAGCTACCAACTCCCATGATCTGGCCTCCGGATCTGGCCTCCGGAGTAAATTATTTAATTTATATAGATAGATATTGGTATTATTTTTGTAGCCTTTTGTCTCTAAAGTCAAGAGATCTGTTGTCTGGAAGCCCAGTGGGAAGAGTTCATAGAAACTATTAAAAATTCTAAAAATAACAAGTTTTTTTTAAACTAAAAAGTTAACTTTTTAAAGACTATGTTAGGTCCTTTTGGGGCTAGAAGCTTGTGTTTGGAAATGGAATTTCCCTTTCTACATGGGATAAATTAGGTTTTTTAGTACCATGAGACTGCATGGTAATGACTTTAAAAGCCATTGTTTTCAGTGTACAGAAAAAGTTGTCACTTCCAGGAATTAATGTTACCTGCCCTGAAATTGGAGGTGTTGTTTTTGAATGGAAAATTTCATAATGGGAAGGTTTGAACTGGTTCAATATTTTTTCTTGAAAATATATATTTTTAGTTGATGGTATTTGCAATGTTGGAATAATTTTTTGGTGAGAGAAGAATTAGTGGAAAGCAAGCAGGTGTTAGCATGAAAAGCACACTCATTGCCTTCTCATCACAGGAGATTATAGGTTTAATTGTACCTCAGAAAATAATTGAAGATAACTTCATAAGTATTTGAGGTACTAAGGATATGTCTGTGTCGTGCAGTGCAGCACAGTACAAGGCTAGCTCTGAATGAGCTTATGTGTCTACACAGTGTAGTGCAGTGCTATGCAGAGGTTCTTGTGTGGGGTCCAGAATCAGTATAACCTCACTACTACAGTACCCCTGAACATGATATTAATGTGGTTATATTTCTTCTGCCAGAGCCAGCTGTTAACTTGAGGTATTGTAGTAATTGGGGTCACATTTACCTAATCAGAGAGAAACTGGTGATGACCTTATACTAATGATTATTCCCAACTGTGTAATACTTTGTAGCCAGGAAGAACAGATTGACCATATTAGGTAAAAAGCTTCCCTTTTAGAAAAGCTTAGAATAACCAATGAATAATAGCATTTAGTAGTAAATAGTACATGGGTTTTATGGGTGTGAATACCTTCTGTCTTAAATTGGATTGTATGACAGTATACTGGGACTGGACAAGTGGGATGTATCTAGAATTTGGTTATTTGAAGTAAATTGCATTATTGTATTAATCTTTTAATACAAAGATTAATACGGGGGATCCATTTGTCCAAAAATTTCAGGGCCCTTAGCTCCATTCTTCAGAGTCCTTAGCTTTTTTCGCTGTTGGTTCACCTTAAAGCAACCAGAAGGAGGGCAGGCAGCCTTTTTTGACAGGTCTGCCACAAAGTAGCCCTGCACTGTCCTTGAGTGCTGCTTTAATTGCCTTCTGCTTCCCAAGCTGCTGTTCTGCTTTTTAATCCCTGTCCTGTGCTCCCTACCTGATCTACTGCTCTGCTTTCTGCTGCCTTCCCCGCCACTGTGCTGCCTTCCCCTCTCCAGTCTGCTGCATGCCACACAAAGGCTGCCCAAGCCACTTGTAGTATGTATGCCACAGGTTGGCCACCTCTGTCTTAAATATTTATTTATTTCTTTATTAGATTTATAATTATGTCCTATCTAAAAGGGTCAGAGCAGCTTATAATAAACAACCCACAGACAAGATATCATAATACCTGAGAACTCCAACTCCCCCTCTGTTTCCAGTCGTTGCCTCCTTTTCCAGACTTCCCAGACAAGCAAACCCTCTCACCAGTCCCAACCATACTTGGTGACCACTACTCATGCCCAGATTACAAAGAATGGCGTGCTTTTTTCCCTAGAATTCAAATCTGTGACGAATGTTACCAATTTCTTTTAATTGGCGTTTCTGTAGTTTTTACTTGGCTTAACTTTAGAAAAGTTTCCTCATTTATTTTTCTTTGGTTGTTTTGGCAGTCTCAAGTATATGAAAGGGATAACAAAACATTTTAATAAAGGAACGCCTACATCTCAAAGAAAAGCTTACTAATATCTACCTGATGTTTCAGGGCATCTCACCAGACCCCGTGAAATGGACTCAGTCATCTATCTCTTTAATTTTGTTTCCAGTAAATGTAGTTTCACTTTTCTAAAATTCCAAAAAGGGGCAAAAGCTAATCAGCAAGGAAGCTACCAAGATGACTGCACCTTTATACATTTTATTTCCTATATGAAAACTTCAACACACGCATCTATATAAACAGCGTTATTAACTGGTAGTAGAGCACAGTGGCAAGTGCCTTCTGTACACTGAAAATTGAGTCGTCTTAATTACTGATGTATGTTTTGGAGTGCATCTCTTTTAGCCAGCTAATTATCTCTCAACAGTTTCATTAAGGTCTTTTCATGACATGACATAGTAACCGTGAGTTCCACAGTTATTTTCACTTGTGACTTGGTTTGCCAGCACTCAGCTGAGAAATGGGTGTTCATTGTGATGAAAATGAATTATGAGTGATGGTTGCTGCATTCTCAGCAAAGCCTGACATGATCCTGGGTTCTAGGACCTGTACCAGGGGAACGTAAGTAACCAGTGTACCAGAGAACCCATTCAGTGTGGAAGTATTCATGTGCTTTACTTTGGCTTCATGCCTGAGTGTATGGGTATGGTCACCAACAGCCTTGTAGGAAAGGTTTTGGCTTGAGGCTGAGACGCTACAAAGGGAATTGAGTCACAAATTTAGGGTATGATAAGCAAGCAGTCAGACCGGGGGCAGATCAAGTAATGGAAATACATCTGAGGCGGTGAAATGAAATAATAACAGGCTAGTTTTCCATGTTGATTTAGATATTCTCATAAGAAAGTCTGTATGCACTAATATGCAGTTATGCATATTTCTATCTCATTTACTTCATTTTCCTCACATACAGGAAATCCATGCTTCTTTTTTGAAGTGGCTACACCAAAATGTAGATGCTGAAGGATTAATAAAATCCAGCAAGATGTCTCTTAAATTTATGCCATTTTACAAGCCTGAAATGGAGATAACACCATGTCGAATGCCAGTCATCACTGAGCTGGGGGACTTCTCATCTGAGCACTTCAGTCTGGAGACATATCGACATAATCTGCAAACAAAGAAGCTTGGAAAGATTGTTCTGTTTGCTGAAGTAACATCAACAACAATGAATCTTCTTGATGGGTAAGATAATGGTGTAGACTGTCTTAGACAAGTATTTTGAACAGTGATGCATATATAAGGGAATAAACTAATCTCACAGTGTTGAGAACTAAGTTGAAAACTTCTCTCTTTGCTACATTTACTCTCAGTATGCCCTCCTTCCCCACCTCTCATACATATAACATTTGTCATATAGACTGTGGTGTAAGGAGAAATACTGACATTTGTTTTTAAATAGTAGTTAGTAGGTGGTAATACTATGGTTATTAGGAATTTATAGATATTTAAATATTTATTAGCATATTTATAGATACAGGAATTTATAGCTGTCAATTTAGATGGAAAATTTGGTGTGACAGCTCTTTTCCTGGTATTAAGATTTACTTGTTTTTTTTTCTGTTGTAAAATATTAAACTTAATTTGAATATTTTAAAAATTGCTTTAGATAAGCAGACCTAGGAGGCTGGCACTTAATATTTAAAAAAAATAAATAGCCACTGCTTTCTTTGTAATTTTATGCAGGTTTTAAAATTCAGCCTAACATGCTTGTATGAAGAATTATTCACCAACATTTTTTTTCCAAATGTTGATCAGAGATGAAATATTTTCAGACAGTATGTAAATAGCCTTTCTTAAATCTCTTTAGGGTGCTTTTGAGTAAAATAGTTCATTTGAGATATAAAACAGAATTATGGAGTTACCAGAATAATGATAGAATTTATAGTCACCCTATCTTGGGTACCTTTTAAAGGGATCATGATTGCAACTAGCCAGTTGACCCTGCTCCCCTCCGCTGCTGATGTCACTTCCATTGCTGCTGCTTTGGGGGCGGGGGGGCAAGGCAACCGGAACTGGCCTCCCCGCCCCCCCTGCTCCGTCCCCTGTGCCCCGCCATCATAGCGGAGCACTGCCTCCTGTCTGAACACGTCTTTGCACTCTGGTTGGCTGTTTATTCATGCTCTGATTGCCTGACAAAGCATTATGGACAGACAGACAGATTAAGGCTTTTATAATATTAGAATATTTGACAGAATAAACTAATTGGATGGATGGAGTGCTTTCCTATGGGATACTGTTGCACTATTGTCCAGATATATTGTGCATTCCTACTTGCAGTTGTAACGTTGGATAAAGAAAGCTCTTGAAAGAAGTGTCAATCCATATATGGTAATTCTGGCCTGCATATGAATTGTACTGTTTCAAGATTAATTTAACCTGGTCTTTTATTGATGAAGGTGAAAAAATAAATCTAACATCATCAAAATCACTTCGGCTGTAGTCATAGTTAGTGAGCAAAAACTGTTTCTCCTCAGTTATAGGTTAGGTCCTGTATAAATTGACCTTGGAATATACCTCCTTGTAAAGGGGTAGTTAGATATGGTTTTTAAAAATAGTCTTATTTGATGAGAGTAAGGCTTAAACTGAAATAGTATAAAGATATACTTATAGATATGAAATAGTATAAAACAACTAGTTTATATTGTTCATTAAATACTAGAATGTTAGTAGCTGAGGGAAGGGGGGGCAGAGGGGTAAATGCATAGATTGAATACATTTTACCTGTTGGAAGATCCTTTCATAGTTTCATAGTTGGTAGAGTCGGAAGGGACCTAAGCAGATCATCAAGTCCGACCCCCTGCCATGGCAGGAAAGGATGCTGGG